AGCGACCCTGAGAGCCAGGTGTCTCGCTGCTGGCGACGCGCTTCCTCCCAGTTCAACAAATTTTGCTGCTGCATTTCAATGTTGCTGCGACCGGGAGGCAAGAGCAGCCCTCTAAACCCTAAACCCTAAACCCTTGAGGCCCCTAGACCCTAAACCCGTAAAGCCCCTAAACCCTAAACCCTAAAAGCCCCTAAACCCTAAACCCTAAGGACCCTCCATAACAGGGATATCTCATGTTGTTGATGCTGCTGCTACTGCTGCTGTTACCGCTGCTGCTTTTGCTGCTGCTGCTGCTTCTGCTACTCCTGCTGCTTCTGCTGTTGCTATCCCTGCTGCTGCTGCTGCTGCTGCTGCTGCTGCTGCTGGGTTTCAGGGAAGACGCGCAGCCGAGGGAGAAGAGCGCGAGAGCGAGAGGCCTCAGTACGTGGGTGAGGCCTCGCTGTCTCCTTTTGTTTTTTTGTCTCTCTTATTTTGCTTCCTTCAGCCCCTTTGCTGCCATTAGCAGCAGCAGCAGCAGCAGCAGCAATGCATGCTGCTGATCTTTTTCGTGAACGTCTAGCTTGTCTATAGGTGCAGCAGCAGCAGCAGCAGCAACAGCAACAGCAGGTGCTGCAGCTCGTTTTATGGTAAAGCCATCAGGACAGCAGCAGCAGCACAAGCAGCAGCAGCAGCACAAGCAGCAGCAGCAGCTGCTGCTGCTGCTAGCTATCCTTTAATGCTGCATCTGCATGCAGACTGTGTTTTTTTATATATCATTTTCTCTCATTAGGGCCATTAGGATACATAGGGGGCCCCCCTCTGTACCCTACGGACCTTGGGGGCCCCCCTCTGTACCCTAGGGGCCTTAGGGGGCCCCCGTGTACCCTATTATGGGAGCTCTGGGGGCCCCCGGTGTACCCTACTGTGGGGCCCTTGGGGGCCCCCCGTGTACCCTGTTGTGGGGCCCTTAAAGGCCCTACTTTACGCTACCCTAGGAGCCTTTGGGGGCCCCCGTGTACCCTATTGTGGGGCCCTTAGGGGCCCCCAGTGTACCCTGTTAAGGGGGCCTCAGGGTCCCGCCGTGTACCCTGTTGTGGGGCCCTCAGGGGCCCCCCGTGTACCCTGTTGTGGGGCCCTCAGGGGCCCCCGTGTACCCTATTGTGGGGGCGTCAGGGGCCCCTTATGTACCCTACTCTAGAGGCATTGGGGGCCCCTTGTGTACTGTACTGTAGGGGCCCTAAGGGCCCCTACAGTACAGCTGCCTGGGGCCCCCTGAAGGGACAGCCGCTCGCTGTCAGGCGAAAGACGCCAAGCGAGTTTTTGTGTTGTCTCCTTTTAAAACAAATTGGAGATAAAGATATTTGAGGTTAGGGTGGAGACAAGGAGACAGATAGAGAGACAGAGACAGATAAAGAGACAGAGACAAGGAGACAGAGACAGACGTGCGCAGAGAGACAGAAAGGGACAGAGGAGACAGAGGCCGAGACAGAACAGCTGCTAGCTGCAAAGCAAAGACACCGCTACACTGCATGCAGCCTCAGGCGTATAGGCAGCTCAGGGTGTGGGGCGAGGGCCCTACAAGCGGTATAAGGAGGAGACAGCAAACTGTCTCCTTCTAGAGACTGTCTCCTTTTGTATTGTTTCATCATCACTTCTAAGGTTTAGGGTTTGCTTAGCGTGGCGGTTATGCAGCGGTCTAGGGTTTAGGGTTTGGGGTTTAGGTATGCGTGAAGTACTCCAGAACCAACTAGGGTTTAGGGTTTAGGGTTTAGGGTTTAGAGCACTGAGATGCAGCCGACTACCCGAGTGAAGAGTTAAAGGCTTTCTGTGTAATGTCTGTACGAAGGAGACAAAAATAAACAAAAATAAACAGAAGGGACCCCAGAGGGGGCATAGCAGCAGCAAAAAAAAGAGACAGACAGAGCCCCGCTGTCTGTCTCCTTTTGTCTCCTTTCTCTGCTGTCTCTGCATTTATCTGCTGCCCGCTGCATCTCTTTCTTTTTTCCCTCCATCTTCGCGGTCTGTTGCTGTGGCCCTCCTGCTGCTGTTGCTGCTGCTGCTGTTGCTGCTGCTGCCGTTGCTGCTGCTGCTGCTGCTGCTGCTGCTGCTGGGGGGCGGGCCGTCATCTGCAGCAGCGCTGCTGCTGATGCGGAGGCTTCCGATTTGCTGCATTGCTCTTCTGGCTGCCGCAATCAATGATGCGTCTCCTCCTGCTGCTACAGGGCTGTCTCTACTGTCTCCTTTTGCTGTCTCTTCTAGAGGGTACTCCCGTCTCCGCGCTGCAACAGGGAGAAGACGCGTTTGCTGCTGATCACGAGACCCACCCTGCAGCAGCAGCAGCAGCAGCATCGCATTCAACAGCAGCAGCAGCAGCGCATTCAACAGCAGCAGCAGCAGCGCATTCAACAACAGCAGCAGCAGCAGCAGCGGATTCAACAGCAGCAGCAGCAGCAGCGCATTCACCAACAGCAGCAGAAGCAGCAGCGGATTCAACAGCAGCAGCAGCAGCATCATGAAAGTGTGCGGCATCCACTACACACGCCTTCTGCTCTAAGACCACATCACCTATTCTAGCTAGCTAGCTACGTAGCTAGCTAGCTAGCCAGCAGTAGATAGGTAGCTAGCTAGCTAGCAGAGGTAGTAGTTGAGCCCACCCTTGCTGCTGCAGCTACGATTGCCTTGGGGGTTGCTGCAGCAAGCTGCTGCTGCTGCTGCTGCTGCTGCCTTCCGAGTGCCTCCTGTCTCCTCCGTCTCCTTTGAAGACGCTCGGTTGACTCCTCTTCAACAGCAGCAGCAAGTGCTTCTGCAGCTTCAGCAGCAGCAGCAGCTGCTGCTGCAGCTTCAGCAGCAACCACAGCTTCAGCAGCAGCTTCAGCAGCAGCTTCAGCGACAGCATCTTCAACTTCATCAGCAGCAGCAGTGGGAGCAGCAGCAGCAGCAGCAGCAGCAGCAGCAGGAGGGCTATGGAGTTCGAATGCGGGCATCGATGCCTTGGGCGGCAGCTGCACTACAAAGAAATCTGCAGGTGTCTCCTTTTGTGTTTGTCTTTGTCTCCTTCTCTCCCTCGGAAGAGACAGCAGATCAGCAATATACGAACGCCGACGCCCCAGCTGTACAGACACCTCAGCCACCCGTGGATCATCAGAGCTTCTTGCCCTGCACGCAGCAGCAGCAGCAGCAGCAGCAGCAGCCAGCTGCAGCAAACCGCCTTCTAATGCAGCAGCAACAAAACACCAGCCGGCAGCTCCACTGCCAGCCCAGCCATCGCCTTCCGCCTATCACCTCCAAATCTAGCTAGCTAGCTAGCCAGCTACGTAGCTAGCTAGCTAGCTACCTAATTAGCTAGCTAGTTGTTTAGCTATCAAGCGTGTTGCCTAGCTAGCTAGCGAACCAGTTACCCTAGCTATCCAACCAATTAGCTAGCTAACCACTCTGCTAGCTATCCAGCTAGCTAGCTAACTATCCAGCTAGCTAGCTAGCTATCCAGCTAGCTAGCTAAATATCCAGCTAGCTAGCTAGCTAGCTTCATAGCTCACAGAGAGTCCCTGGGGTTGGGGTGCTCAGCAGACGGCTCTCCTCTCTTCGGGTCCGGCCCCACAGGCACATGCTCCCGCATCGATTCTGCTGCTGCTGCTGCTGCTGGTGTTGCTGTTGCTTTTGCTGCTGCTGCTGCTCTTGCTTTCGCTACTGCTGCAGTTGCTTTTGCTGCTGCTGCTGCTGCTGTTGCTTTTGCTGCTGCTGCCGCTGCAGTTGCTTTTGCTGCTGCTGCTGCTGTTGCTTTTGCTGCTGCTGTTGCTTTTGCTGCTGCTGCTGCCGCCGGAGCAGCAGCATCAGCAGCAGCAGCAGCAACAGCAGGATGCGTCGGAGAAGGTCTTGCCGCTCGGCTTGCTTCCGGCTGCCTGCGCCTCTGCTGCTCTGCGGGTGGGGAGTCCCCCAGCTGAGGGTCTCTTTTGAAGTGTCTCCTGCTGCTGCTGCTGCTGCTGCTGCTGCTGCTGCTGCTGCTGCTGCTGCTGCTGCTGCTGGGTTTGGTATTAAAAGTGTGAGTGTTATGGAACTGCTCTTCAGGTGTATGCACAAAATCAACAGTATTTGTCTCAGGCAAAGAGGCGATGTCGCTGTCGGGGAGGCTGCGGTTATGCTGCGGCTGCTGCTGCAGCAGCTTCTGCTTCTGCTTCTGCTGCTGCTGCTGCTCCTGCTGCCGCTTCTGCTGCTGCTCCTGCTGCTGCTCCTGCTGTTGCTTCTGCTGCTGCTCCTGCTGCTGCTTCTGCTGCCGCTGTTGCTGCTGCTGCTCCTGCTGCAGCTTCTGCTGCCGCTGTTGCTGCTGCTGCTCTTGTTGCAGCTTCTGCTGCCGCTTTTGCTCCTGCTGCTGGAGCTGCTGCTCCTGCTGCTGCTTCTGCTCCTCCTGCTGCTGCTGTTTCTGCTGCTTCTCCTGCTGCTGCTTCTCCTGCTGCTGCTGCTTCTGCTGCTGCTTCTCCTTCTGCTGCTGTTTCTGCTGCTGCTGCTTCTCCTGCTGCTGCTGCTTCTGCTGCTGCTGCTTCTCCTGCTGCTGTTGCTTCTCCTGCTGCTGCTTCTCCTGCTGCTGCTGCTTCTCCTGCTGCTGCTTCTGCTGCTGCTTCTCCTGCTGCTGCTGCTTCTGCTGCTGCTGCTTCTCCTGCTGCTGCTTCTCTTGCTGCTGCTTCTCTTGCTGCTGCTTCTCCTGCTGCTGCTTCTCCTGCTGCTGGTTCTCCTGCTGCTGCTTGTGCTGCTTCTGCCTGTGGTGCTTCTGCTTCTGCTGCTGCAGCTGCTGCTGCTGCTGCTTCTCGTGCTGCTGCTGCTGCTGCTGCTGCTTCAATGGAGGAGAGATAGAGACAGGCGATGCCCTCGCCTCTAATTCTCTTACAATGCGTCTAACTGCTTTTCTTCTAATGCCTGTGCGTAGAGTTCTAAGAGGTGGGTTGTTATCTTCATCTTCATCTTCATCTGCTGCTGCTGCTGCTGAAGGTGCAGCAGCTGCTTCTGCTGGGGCTTTTCGTACATGTCGAAGCGGTGGTCTAGGCATGCTGGCGTCTCTTCCTTTGCTGTTGTTGCTGCTGCTGCTGCTGTCGCTGCTGTCTCCTTTTTCTTCTGCGCGCTGTTGACGTGTCTCCTTAGATCTCTCTGATGCTGCTAGTCTCCTGCTGCGTCTCTCTTGAGTCTCTAAACGCCTCTCTCTGTTTTTATCTGTCTCCTCTCTCCCTACTGCAGGATAAACCGGTGCAGCAAGCCCTTCAAGCACCTCTTCTGCTTCTGCTGCTGCTGCTGCTGCTGCATCTGCATCTAACGTAGAAGCTTCAGACTCACTTAAAGAAGAAGATGCACCTGTCTCCTTTCTCCTGGGCCTATAAGGAATGCCGTCGTTATCCGAGCTGTCTCCGCTGCTAAGAGAGGAGACATAATACTGATCGCTATCCCTCCTCCTCTGCTGCTGCTGCTGCTGCTGCTGGTCTTGCTGCTGCTGCTGTTGTTCTTCGTCTTGTATACCAGTAGGAAGCAACCCTGCTGCTCGTCTGTGCTGCAGCGGGAAGATAGAATCTGCTGCTTCTAAGTGCAGTCCCCGAGGAGACAGTCGCGGACTGTATGCTGGGGCTTGTAGAGACAGTGTATCTTGCTGTCTCTTCTGTACAGCAAGTGTCTCTATTGCTGCTACCCACTCCTCAACAAGGCTGTCTCCTTCTGCTGCTAGCAGCAGAAACCCTTCTAATTCTTTCTGATGTACATTCACCTTCACCACCTCAAAGCCGGAGCTGTAGTCTCTTCTTGCTGCAGCAGCAAGAGCTGTGCTGCTAGCATCTTTAAAGCTTCTCGCAAATGTCTCTTCATTAATTAATAACGCTGACTCTACAGTAGAAAAAGCATTGTCTCCATCGGAGTGTACGCACAGGTAATTTCCTCGAAGAGACACCATGCGCACCTCCCACTCTGCATGCAGCTGGTCTCTGCAGCAGCAAGCAGCAGCAAAACCAGCAGCAGCAGCAGCAGCAAGAGAAGCAGCAGCAAAGCCAGCAGAAGCAGCAGCAACAGCAACAGAAGCAGCACAGAGGCATGCAGAGATATACTAAAATTAATATCACACGCGCAGCCCCAACCCCTGCCTAGCTCGACAATAAACCCTAAACCCTAAACCCTAAAACCCTAAACCCTAAACCCTAGTCCTGAAGTCTCAAGCAAAACAACCATCAAGGCTACGACACCTCAGCGATAGAACAGGGATAGACAGAGACGCTGCTTCAACTGGACACTTATTAGGGTTTAGAGCTTAGGGTTTAGGGTTTAGGGTTTAGGGTTTGCGATTAGTTGCTGCGCCTCACTTCCTGACGAAGGCCTGGTACTTGTCCGGCGCTGTAAAACACAAGCAACACAAAACCCTAAACCCTAAACCCTAAACCCTAAACCCCAACCACTGAACCCTAAACCCCAAATTTTTAACCCTGAACCCTAGCGCGTAGACCCTAAACCCTAAACCCTAAACCCTAAACTTTACACCTTAATCCCTAAACCCTACCCGTTAAACCGTAAACCCTAGACCTTGAACCCTGACCCATGCATACCCCGAAAACCCTAAACCCTAAACCCTAAACCCTAAACCCTAGGAAGTGTATCTCACGTTTTTGTAGGAAGAGTTTGCTGTAAGGGTCTATAGACGGTGCGTAAATAAGGGTTTGTTGTTTATGAAGTTGTGCTGGCTTTGCTGTTGTCTCCTTTTGATATATCTCTGTCTCTCTATTTAATGCTGGGGCGCTGTCTAGAGACAAACGAAGAGACAGAAAATCTTCTGCTGCTGCTGCTGTCTCCTGGCAGAAAGCACTGAGACGGTTTGATGCACGCAATAAAGCCTAATAATATTTAAATACAAACACAAAGTACATTCATACCTGCATGTACACCCCAATTATATATCGCTTTCTATACACCCCACATATGTATAATATATATATATACATATATATATGCTGCATATATACACCTCAAATAAACCCTGTACATACACCCTAATTATATACTGCTTTCTATACACCCCAGATATACACTGCGCATACACCCCAAATAGACAGAGAAGAAACAGACAAGAAAGGAGATAAGCAAGAAGAGAGACAAACAAGAAAGGAGACAAAAAAAGAAAAGAGACAGACAGCTGGAGCTGCATATACACCCCAACATTACCTCCTGTCTCTCTTCTAATAGCGAATGAACGTCTAAGGCCCGCAGCTGCCAGTGAGGCACTCGCAGTCTCTCTTGCATATCTGCAGCAGCAGCAGCAGCAGCAGCAGCAGCAGCAACAGCAGCAACAGCAACGGCAGCAAAAGCAGCAGCAGCAATAGCAAGAGAAGCAAAAGCAGCAGCAGCAAGAGCAGCAGCAAAAAGGCAGAAGGAAATAAAACAAAAGGAGACAGAGGGAGGTAAAAGAGAGACAAAGACAGAAATAAAAAAGAAGGCAAGGAGACAGACAAACAAAGAGACAAAGAGACAGAGAGACATGCGAAACGAGATAAAGAGACAGACAGAGACAGAGAGAGAGAGAGATAGAAAGATATATATGGATATATATATATATATATATCTGTATGTATATCTGTCTCTGTCTCTGGAGAGACAGACAGAGACAGAGAGATAGAGAGAGACAGAGAGACAGAGAGACAAATAGAGAGACAGGAGTGAGAGAAACAAAGACAGAGAGACAAAAAGAAGAGAAGGAGACAGATAAAAGAGACAGACAAAAAGAGAGACAAACAAAATGAGATAAACAGACAGAAAGCGAGACAAAGACAAGCAAGAAGATCTGCAGACAGAGACAAACCCCACACCAAATATGCAGAGACACCGCAAAGGAGACAGCAAAACAAAAGCATTGTTATTCTTATATTACTAATATACTATATAATAATAATAATAGTATTATTAGTATTATAAATTATCATTATTATATTCATTCTAATAATAATTTATAATAATAGTTATGATTAGTATTATTATTTATTATTATTATTATTATTATGTTGTTTATTTTACCTGTGAGGACATCTGTCTTCTCATCCAGAGCAGTAAAAGTAGAGACAATATCATTAAATGCATTTAAACCTAAGACAGGGCTGCGGGCCCCCAGCTGCTGCAGCTGCTGCAGCTGCTGCTTCTTCGCTCTTAAGTACCGCAGCAGCGTCTTGCAGTCGCCGTCGACAGCCCTGAGGTGTACGTACACCCCAATTCATAAACCCGCTATGCTGCGCCAGAAGCTGCTGCTGCTGCAGCAGCAGAAGCTGCTGCTGCTGCAGCAAATGCCTCATCAGCGCTAGCCAGCAGCAGCAGCAGCAGCAGCAAGTCTTAGTGAAGCAGCAAAGATATATGCACCAGAAACAGATAAACCAGCAGCAACAAAAGCTGCAGCAGCAACAACAGAAGGAACTGCAGCAGCAACAGCAACAACAACAGCACCTGCAGCAGCAACAGCAGCACCTGCAGCAGCAGCAGCAGCCGGCGTATAAACCGAGAGAGCAGCAGGGAACAGCAGCAGCTGAAGCTTTCAAAGCCCGTTTGAGGTGCACAACACCGGGCTTAGGGTTTAGGAATTAGGGTTTAGGGTTTAGGGTTTAGGGTTTACTTGAGGGTTTGTGAACTTAAACTCCCCTCCATATCCATTTCCTTTTCAGCAGCTTCACAGCGCACCTCCAGGGCCCGCATCACTGACTGCAGCAAAAGCAGCAGCAGCAACAGCAGCAGCAGCAGCAGCAGTACGTGGCAGCAGCAACACCACCGCCAAGTGGTTGCAGCAACTGCAGCAACAGCAACGGCATGAGCAAGCAGAAACGGCAGCAACAAAGGCCGCAGCAGCAGCAGCAGCAGAAGCAGCAACAGTCGCAGCAGCATCAACAGCAACAGCATCAGCAGCAACAGCAATAACTACAGCAGCAACAGCAACAGCAGCAGCATTAGCAGCAGCAGCAACAGCAGCAGCAGCAGCTGCATGCATACCTCAAACGCATCTGTAATTTGAGTAGCACTCGCCACATGAAGTCGGGAGGCCTTCCTCTGAGGTCAACGTACACCCCAGACAACCCCACAACACCAGCATTGCAGCAGCAGCAACAGCAGCAGCAGCAGAAACAGCAGCAGCAGCAGCAACAGCAACACGAGGACAGCAGAAGAATCAGACGACAGTAGCAGCAGCACACTCGTAGCACTACGACAGCAGCAGCAGTGGGATAGCAGCAGAAGCAGCAGCAGCAGCAGCAACAGCAACAGCAGCAGCAGCAGCACCTGGATGCTTTTTAAAGCAGCAGATAAAGCCTCAAGTTCTTTTGCTTGCTGCTTCAGCTTTGTGTAATGATCCATCATCTGCAAAAGAAGAAGCAGGGCCCAGCCTAGGGTTTAGGGTTTAGCGTGACGGCAGAAGAATATCTAGGGTTTAGGGTTTAGGGTTTAGGGTTTGGGCTTCAGGGTATTAGTGGGGCGGCAAAGGAAGACTTAGGGTTTAGGGTTTAGAATGAAGGGTTTTCGCTTAGCATCAAAGAAACAGAATTAGGGTTTAGGGTTTAGAATGAAGGGTTTTTGCGTAGCACCAAAGAAATAGAATTAGGGTTTAGGGTTTTAGGGTTTAGTGTAGCACCAAAACAAGACCTAAGATGCATGCTTAGGGTTTAGGGTTTAGGGTTTAGGGTTTAGGGTTTAGGGTTTACCTGCATTCTTGCTGCAGGTATTGCACTTCTAATATTAACTAGCTCGTGAGTGCTGTGGAGACCCTCGGCGTAGCACTGGCTACACAAAACAACCCCCCTAAAAGGAGACAGGAGGAGACAGAGAGGAGACAGATAAAAAGATAAAAAGATATAAAGATATATAGATATATAAAGAGATAGAAGGACATATAAAGATATATAAAGATATATAAAGACAGTAAACAGAAGACAACCCCCCTAAAAGGAGACAGAAGGAGACAGAGAGGACACAGATATAAAGATATAAAGATATATAAAGATATAGAAAGATATATAAAGATATATAAAGATATATAAAGATATATAAAGATATATAAAGACTGTAAGCAGAAGACAACCCCTCTAAAAGGAGACAGAAGGAGACAGCGAAGAGACAGATAGAAGACACATAAATAAAGATAAAGAAAGATAAAGACAAAGAGAGACAGTAAACACAAAACAAGACCCCTAAAAGGAGACAGAAGGAGACAGAAGAAGCGGATAAAAAGGCAAAAGAAGGAGACACAAAGGGAGACACAAGGAGACAGAAGAGAGACAAGTCAGAGACACTGAAGCGCAGCAAACTGTTGCTAGCAGCAGCTAAACCCTAAGCAGCAAACTTTAATAAACAAAGACAAGAAAGGAGACATCAAACAAAATGCAGCAGACAGGAGACACAAGAAGGCAGCCGAGGCTCGACCACCCTTGCAAACCCTAAACCCTAAGCCCTAAACCCTAAACCCTAAACCCTAGCAAAGGCTGTACTTGCAGTCCAGGCATGCATAGCGAGCCGGTTCATTTGCATGGCGAGGGCACTGCATTCCTCTGTACGCACACACCCTAAACCCTAAACCCTAAACCCTAAACCCTAAACCCTTAACCCTAAACCCTTAACCCTAAACCCTAAACCTTTAACCCTAAGTTCTACGGCGCTTTCAGCTTTGTGAGCTTCTGAGTTGAGGGTTTTACGTTATTGGGGTTTAGGGTTTTATGCTGCTGGGGCTGTTCAGTGTCTAGGGTTTAGGGTTTAGGGTTTAGCGTTCAGCGTGTATTAGGGTTTAGAGTTCTAAGCGCGGGCCTTAGAGTTTGTGATTGAGGGTTTATGGTTGGGTGTTAGGGGTTTAGGGTTTAAGGTTTGCTGCCCGAGCTTGCGAGGGTTTGGTGTTAAGGGTTTAGGGTTTAGGGTTTAGGGTTTGCTGACCGAACTTGTGAGGGTTTGGTAGCTAAGGAGAAGCTGCTTTGCTGCTGCTGCAGCTGCAGGGTTTTGCTGCGCGGAATATCCACAACCTGCGCTCTTGCTGCTGTACCTACTTTATGTGTCTCCTTTGAAGGAGACACATGAATAATAGCAGCACAAGCCCCGCACAAGAACTTGCTGCAGCTGCTGCAGTAGAGGGGTGCAGCAGCAACCCAGCAGCGCATGCAGCTGCGGCGTTCTGTGTTGCTGTGGGGTGCCGCTGCAGCAGCAACAAGCAAACAAACGCAATAAAGGAGACACATTATCTTTGCTGCGCTTCTCTCTGTCTCCTTACTTCGCTGCGGCAGCAGCAGCAGCAAACAAACACAATAAAGGAGACACATTATCTTTGCTGCTTCTCTTTCTGTCTCTGTTTGCACATCATCTCTCTCTGCCGAGTTGCCTATACACCTCAGGGTGTATATATATATATATATATATATATATATATATATTTACATTTACAGATTTAATATACAGTATAATATAATATATATTATATTAAATATATACATATATATATATATACATATATAATAGGGTTTAACTGAAGGATAATAATTTGTCTCCTTTTGTCTGTGTGTTGTCTCTTTAATGCATTTGTTTTGCTGCTGCTGCAGACCTGGCTGAAGAGACTGAGGAGGCAGAGCGCAGGGCAGCTGTTCAGCGTCTCTTTGTTTTATTTGTTTGTTTGTCTCTCTGTCTCTGTCTAACGCATCTCCTAATGCAGCTGTCTCCTTGATGCGTCTGAGAGGTTGCAGAGGCTGAGGCCCGAACCTCCATGTGGTTGGTTCTGCTGCTGCTGCTGCTGCTTCTGCTGCAGCTGCTGCTGCTGTTGCTGTTGATGGTCCTGCTGCTGTTGTTGCTGCTGCTGCAGCAGCAGCAGGATCTTCTCTCTCATCTTCTCGCACATGCTGCAGCAAAGCTGCTGCCCTCTGTGCAGCCTCAGGGAAGACAGGGGCTCTTAGCTGCATCCTCGAGTGTACAGACATCTCATTGAAACCCCTCTAAATGGTTCGGTCTTGCTGCTGCTGCTGCTGCTGCTGCTGCTGCTGCTGCAGCTGCAGATGTGCAGCATCTGTTGAGATGAAGAGAGGAAATTTTATTAATTAAATCAAACACGTCAATAAAATAAAAATTTAACAAGAAGATAAAGACAAACAAAACAAAATAATAAAACAGCTGCTGCCGATTATCAAGCCAGGGGGTCTGAGAGAGCGGCAAAGACAGAGAGTATATTTGCAGCTATTTCCTAGTAAATTAAATAATTAATTATATTTATTTTGTTTTCTATTTATTATTTAAATATATATCCACACATCAACTCATTATACACCAGAAAGCAACAAAAAAACAGTAAACAGCAGCTCCCTCGCAGCAGCAGCAGCAGCAGCAGCAGCAGCAACAGCAGCAGCAGCAGCAACAGCAGCAGGTATAATACTTTTTTAAATGCATTTTAATATAATTTGTAAGAAATAATTTATAGATATGTCTCCTTTATTGCAGCCCCTAACACCAACTGGGGGCCCGTTCGTTCTTTTATCTTTATCTCTTCTCTTGTCTGTCTCTCTACTACTTTGTTTTGTTCAGCGATTTATTTGTTTTGTTTAGTTGCTGCTGCTCTCTCCCTCTTCCTCTTCTCTTTGTTGCTGCTTGCTGCTTGCTGCTGCTGCCCCGTCGGATGTATATATATATATATATATATATATATAAAGATATGTATATGTACAATATATACATAAATATATATATATTATTTGTCTCTGCGTTGCTGTTGTTTCGTCTGTCTCCTCTCTGGTCTCACTAAAGAGTGTCTGTCTCCTTTCTCCCTTTGTTCAATGCATGCGTGTCTCTTCTGGGTCTTTTATTAATTCTTTTTGTTTAAAGTATTACTTCTCTACCTTGCAGCTAGCAGCTATGACTGTGGCTAGCTGCACCTAGCTGTAGCTCCGAGTATGGCTAGCTGCAGCTAGCCACACCCTTCTGCTGCAGCTAGCTGCAGATAGCTGCAGCTAGCCCTACTTCCCTGCAGCAGCTAGCTGCAGCTAGCCATGCTCGTAGCTACAGCTAGCTGCAGCTAGCCATACTCCTCCGTTACAGCTAGCTGCAGCTAGCCAAACCCCCTTTGCAGCAGTCAACCATACGCTTCTGTGACAGCTAGCTACAGCTAGCCCCTATGCAGCATAGAGCAGCAGACCACCCCACTACTGCTGCAAGCTGAGCAGCTGCAGTGTCTCTGTCTCCTTTTGTTGATGTCTCCTTTTGTCTTTGTCTTCTTTGGTCTCTCTCTGCTGCTGTCTGTCTCCTGCTGCTGCTGCTGCTGCACTCTTCGTCTGCTGCCTCCACCTTATTCTGTTCTCTGTGTCTCCTGTCTCCTCTGCTGCTGCTGCTGCTGCTGTTGCTACTGCTGCTGCTGCTGTTGGGGTGTACGTGCAGTGTGTGTGGGGGTTGAGTGCCTCTCGAAGGCCAATCCAAACCACCAAACCCTAAACCCTAAACCCTAAACCCTAAACCCTAGGCCTTAAACCCTAAACCCTCGCGCTCCAGGAGGGGGGAATTATTGCGTCTTGTTGAGGAGACACACAAAAAGGAGACAAATATAGAGACACAAAAGCGATGTACGTACAGCCGAACAACCAGCTGCCTACCTGGGGCTTATAGGGTTTTATTAGGGTTTTGTTTATTAGGGTTTATTAGGGTTTATTAGTGTTTATTAGTGTTTATTAGGGCTTAGTAGGGTTTATTAGGGTTTATTAGGGTTTACGCCAACTTGGCGCTGGGGCCCCGGAAGGCTTAGGGTTTAGGTGAGGGTTTAGGGTTTATGAAACCCTAAACCCTAGCGCTAAACCCTAAACCCTAAATCTCAAACCCTAAACCCTTGCCCCGCATGCAAAAATGTTAGCAAGCCCCCCAATGCATCTAGGGGTTCATCTCTTTGTGTCTCTAGAGGAGACAGAAGATGAGAGATTAACCTTCTGTCTCCCTCAGCCCTCAGCAGCAGCCTGGGGGCCCCACAGCAGCCAACTTTGCTGCAGTGTCTTCTTTTAGCTGCCTGCTGCTGCTGCAACAGCAAGCTGCAGCAGCAGCAGCAAAGGAGACACTTCTTCACGAATCCTTCTTTGCCCCCTCCTGCACACAACGCCGCATGCAGCAGCAAGCTGAGGCATCAGCAGCAGCACCTTCTAAAGCAGCAGGAGCAACAGTAATAGCAGCAAAAGTAGCAGCAGTGGGGGCTGCAGCAACAGCAGCATTAGTAGCAACACCAGCAGCAATACCACCACCGCCAGCAGCAGCAGCAAGACCATCCATACCCCACAGCAGCAGCAGCAGCAGCAGCAGCAGCACAACCACCACCACCAAGAGCAGCAGCAGCAGCAACAGCAGCAGCACAACCACCACCACCAAGAGCAGCAGCAGCAGCAGCAGCAGCAGCACAACCACCACCACCAAGAGCAGCAGCAGCAGCAGCAGCAACAGGAGCAGGAGCAGCAGCAGCAGGATTCGTATGTCCTTACGAGTTTTTTGAGTGCTCTTTTTCTGATGCTGAGGCATTCGCTTAATCTGTAATTACCCCACACCTTCCGAGGAAGCAGATTGGAGACACAAAGTGCTGCTGCATGCGACCAGTGCGGAGACACTGTGGGGTGGCAGCAGCTGCGAGCCCTGCTCATACACCTCAATGCCGTTGCAGCATACCTGAACGCAACAAACCCTAAACCCTAAACCCTAAACCCTTATTCGTCTAGCTCCACTGCAAAGGGAGACAAAAAAACCCCACACCAATAACGCAGCACCTCGCTGTCCCCGTCACCCGAGGGTTTAGGGTTTAGGGTTTAGGGTTTTATACACATGAGCCGCTCTTTCAAGTAAGGAAGCAGGGTTTAGGGTTTAGGGTTTGTTGGCCTTCAGCGCTCTGAAGGAGACACCGGGATTAGGGTTTAGTGCTAGGGTTTACAAGGGTTTAGGGTTTCGTGTAAGAGTTTATCATCCTTTGGCTTTACTAGGGTTTAGGGTTTAGGGTTTACGCGTCTGGGGTTGGGGGGATGAAGCCTGGGGTTTTATATTCTAGGGGTTTATAAATACGTCTTTCTACAAGATATTAGGGTTTAGTTAGAGTGTATGATTAGGATTTACTGTATCCTTAGGGTTTACTCGGGCTTAGGGTTTAGGGTTTAGGGTTTAGGGTTTACGCTTCTGGGGTTGGGCGGAGGATGCCTGGGGTTTTGCACTTTGATAGTTTTGTCGTCACCAGCAGCGGCACGTGGCACTGCACGTCAATTCCAAAGCCTGCTGCTTCTACCTGCAGCAGCAGCAGCAGCAGCAGCAGCAGCAAACGCAGCAGCAGCACACAGTGCAGAAGCAGCAGCAGCAAACGCAGCACCAGCAGACAGTGCACGCAGCAGCAGCAGCAGCAGCAGCCAGTGCAGAGGCAGCAACAGCAGCAAACGCAGCAGCAGTAAGCATAGCAGCAGCAGCAGCAAGTGCAGCAGCAGCAGCAGCAGCAGCAGCACGAGGAGCATCGGTCACAGACCCCACACCAGAGCCAGCCCTCCTCTCCCAGCCCCAGTTCAAACCCTAAACACTAAACCCTAAACCCTAAACCCTACTTGTAGAGAGCGACAGAAGGCCTCCGATGCTCCTTTCGTTGCAGCATAAGCAGCATAGAGAGGATCTGAAGGCAGCTCTGAGGCCCCACTCCCTACGCAAACAATTAAACCCTTCTTCCGCGCCTTCATCTCTGCACGCATGCACAAACCCTAAACCCTAAACCCTAAACCCTAAACGCTTAACTTTATGCCAGAACAGAACAGAAGGCCCTCTCCCTATGCACACTGTCAGCGACAACGCCTCTCCCCAAACCCACTCGAAACCCTAAACCCCAAACCCTAAACCCTAAACCCTAAACCCTAAACCCTAAACCCTCTTCCCTTAAGGCGCCACCCCAAAATATCGCTTTCCAACCGCGCCTCCGCAGCAACAGAAGCAGCAACAGCAGCAGCACCAAGGGGGGTTGACTGCAGCAGCAACAGCAGCAGCAGCAAGGGGGATTGACTGCAACAGCAGCAGCAGCAGCAGCAGCAGCAGCAGCAGCAGCAGCAGCAGCAGCATGATTACCATTGCATGGGGGTAAGAGATGCCGACGTTATTAATTAGAACACCAATTTGCTGTCCCTTTACTGCCTCAGATACTTTCTTAAATATCTCCTCAGCCGACTCAGCAGCAAAATCTATAATCAAACGAGAAACCTTCACCGGAGTCGGCGCAACTAGCTCCAGCTGCAGCAGCAGCAACAGCAGCAGCAGCAATAGTAGCAGCAGCAATAGTAGCAGCAACAATGGGTTTTAGAGGCAGCGCTGGTTTAGGTCTACACAAACAGCAGCAGCAGCAGCAGCAGAGCTGCAACACAGCAGCAGCATGACACCAGCAGCAGCATTAGAACAGCAGCAGCAGCAGCAGCAGAACAGCAGCATTAGAACAGCAGTATTAGAACAGCAGTAGCATCAGCATCAGCATCAGAACAGCAGCAGCATGAGCATCATCACAGCAGCAGCAGCAGCAACAGGAGCATGAGAGGAGCAGCAGGAGAATACCTCTGTAGCAACATCTTTGAGTTTATTATCATTTCTAGCAATAAGAAGAATCTTCTTAAACCCTCGCTTGGCTAGCTGGCTAGCTAAAGCTCTGCCTATGCCGTCTGAGGCCCCCGTTATCACCGCCCATTCACCGTAACTCAGCAAATCAACGCCTCCGTACAAACGCTTCGCAAAAAGGAGACACAAAGGAGACACATAATGGAGACACATACTGTAAAGGAGACAGAAAGGAGACACGTACTGTAAAGGAGACACAAAGGAGACACATACTGTAAAGCAGACACAAAGGAGACACATACTGTAAAGCACACACAAAGGAGACACATAAAGGAGACAGATAGCGTAAAGGAGACAGAAAGCAGAGACACAAAGGAGACAGAAAGGAGACAGAGAGGAGACAGAGAGGAGACAGAGAGGAGACAGAGAGGAGACAGAGAGGAGACAGAGAGGAGACAGAAAGCGCAAAGGAGACAGAAAGGAGACAGAAAGAGGAGACAGATACTGTAAAGGAGACAGAAAGCAGAGACACATAAAGGAGACAGAAAGGAGACAGAGAGGAGACAGATGCTGTAAAGGAGACATAAAGGAGACACGGAGGGGACACATACTGTAAAGCAGACAACAAGGGGACAGAAAGGAGACAGCAAGGAGACAGATGCTGTAAAGCAGACACAAAGGAGACACATACTGTAAAGCAGACAACAAGGAGACAACAAGGGGACAGAAAGGAGACAGAAAGGAGACAGATCGCGCAAAGGAGACAGAAAGGAGACAGATAGTGTAAAGGAGACAGAAAGGAGACAGATGAAGAAAGGAGACAGAAAGGAGACGCTCGTCTAACCTTCATAACAGCGAGGAGACAGGAGACAAGTCTGAACAGCAAACGAAGGGTCATCAGAGCTGCAAGCCCGAGAAGGAGACAAGACATAAAGGGACAGCGGGATGCTCGCTGCAGCAGCTGCTCGCAGCAAGCGCAATGACCCTCAAACCAACCCATCTTCAATCAAACTGCTGCTGTTGCTGTTGCTGCTGCTGCTGTTGCTGCTGTTGCTGCTGCTGTTGCAACCAGGAGACCCTGAAGACAGCACAAACCTCAAGGGAGACAACGTGAAACTAAGCGAGGCAGCAGCAGCAGCAGCTGTTGCTGTTATTGCTGCTGCTGCTGCTGCTGTGTGTCTCAACGGGTTCTGCTGACTGTTTGCAGGATCAGCAGCAGCAGCAGCAGCTGCTGCTGCTGCATGAAAGAAGCAGTAGCTGCTGCTGCAGCAAATATGAAGCTGCTGCTGCTAGAGGAGACAGCTAGGCTCCTCTGCTGTATGCAGCAGCGAGTCAAAGGGGGGTAGCCACGGAGACAGAGACAGAGCGACAAAGACAAGGAGACAAAGAGAGAGCAGCAGAAGATGAGAAGTAAGAAGAAGAAAGACGAAAAAATGAGAAGAAGAGACAAACAGCAGCAAATAAGAGAAACAAAGAGCTGCGCAGACACACGAGAAGCAGCACAAACGACTGCTGCGTCAAGCAACAGCAGCAGCAGCAGCAGCAAAGGATGGCGAGAGGAGACAGCAGCAAAAGGAGACAGCAGCAAAGGAGACAGCTTTACCCTATTTATATTAATAGCTCCTTCTTCTGTTATATTTGCAGTGTACACACTCAATACAACCTCCTACTTCAGCCGCTGCTGCTGCTGCTGCTGCTGCGGCTGCGGCTGTTGCTGCTCAGCTTCTCGTATGCGGGGGGAGGCGACTATGCGAGCAGTGGCTGCAGCTGCTGTTGCAGCAGCAGCAGCAGCAGCTGCTGCTGCTGCTCTATACTTGCTATTTTTTATTAGCATTTTAATTTGTTTATCATTATATAAACAAATATAAAACAGTTTTTTGTTTTGTTGTAAGGAGGAGTGCTCTGCTGACCCCACATCTCCGCGTAGGCCCCTTCCCGGCTGCTGCTGCTGCTGCTGTTGCTGCTGCTGCTGCTGCTGCTGTAGCAGTGGAAGGAGGGCCTGCCGCAGAAGGAAGTTCCGCATGCGGCAACAGCGACAGCAGCAGCAGCAGCAGCAGCGGGAGCAGCAGCTAGCAGCACTCCGCCGCGCGCTGCAGCAACGGGGCTGGCAGACCCGCGACGGCGTGCAGTTTGGGGTGGACCTGCTGCTGTACAGCAGCAGCAGCAGCAGCAGCAGCAGCAGGAGCAGCAGTAGGAGCAGCAGGAGCAGCAGCAGGGGGAGGAAGGGTTTGCTGCAGCACCAGCAGCACGCCCCCTATTTGCTGCTGCTGCTCGACCCCTCAATTTGCTGCCGCCGCATCTGTGGGGCCCTCCGCCTTGCGAACTCCGTACGGAAAGAATTGCTGCTGGCTGTACCTCAGCCGCATGCAGCAGCAGCAGCAGCAGCAGCAGCAGCAACAGCAGCAGGGGAAAGAGCAGCAGCAGCAGGAGAAGCAGCAGCAACAGAAGGAATAGCAGCACCAGCAGAAGGAGCATCAACAACAGCAGCAGCAGCAGCTGAAGGAGCAGCAACAGCAGCAGCAGCAGCAGGTTGTTCGTTTCGTGTGCTGCATCTTAAGCGTTTTCTTCCTTGGCGGCTGTAACATTTGCTGCTATTTATTGTCTCCTTTGTTTTTTTTTGTTGTTTTGTATTGTCTCCTTTTAGTAAATTGTCGTTGTTCATTTCTTTTTACCTTTTAGTAGCTGCTCCCGCCGCTGCTGCTGCTGCTGCTGCTGCTGCTGCTGCTATCTCTTGCTAAGATGGCTGGGCCTCTGCAGCAGCTAGTCAAGCGGCGGGCGTACAGAGAAAGGAGACAGGCTGAAGGGAGAGAGCAGCGTGTAGGGATATTAGAGAAGAAGAGAGACTGGCAGCAGCGAGCAAGAAGATATAAGCAGCAGCAGCAGCTGCTGCTGCACTTAGCAGAGAAAGCAAGAACAGCAAACCCTAATGAGTTTAGCTGCAGCATGCTGAGAGCGCAGCAAGTTGAGAGAGTAGGAAAAAGCAAAGCAAAAGATAATGCAGGGCTTGTGCTGCTAGCACAGAGTGATGCTGCTGCTGCTGTTGCTGCTGCTCCGACCCCAAGAGCTGCTGCTGCTGCTGCTGCTACTGCTTTCAAGCTGCAGGCCCGCAACGCCCTCGTCTCCAGCCGCAGCAGCAAAAAACAAAAAGAGACAAGGAAGCAGCTGCTCCTGCTGCAGCAAAGGGCAACCACCACTGCTGCTGCGCTGCTGCAACTCAAGCAGCAAACACTGCAGCAAAAGATCAGAAGTCTAGCAGCAACTGTTGGAAGCGGCTTCTCAAAAACAGCAGCAGCAAGGCAGCAGCACATCAATCTTTCAGACTCTGAGGCAGAGACAGAAGCAACCGATGCCGATGAAGACACGGAACAGCAGCAGCAGCAGCAGCAGCAGCAGCAGCAAGACCCAGCAGCAGCAGCAGAAACATCAGATGAGTCCGGCAGCGACTCAGACTGCCGCTGGATGAAGCTGGCGAAGAAACCCAAGAAGCAACAACAGCGTGCAGCAGCAGCAGCAGCAGCAGAAGCAGCAGCAGGGGAGGAGAGCGATGAAGGAAGCGCAGCAGAGAGCAGCAGAGACAGAGACGGGGGGCAGGAGACATATGAGAAGATGCAGGCAGCACTGCAGCACGCCCAGAGGCTGAAGCAGCTGCAGCAGCAGCTGCAGCAGCACGTAGCCAACCAACAAAAAGGAAGAAGGAGACAGTTAGTGCTGCAGGGCCCTGATGGACAGCGACGCAAGGAGACAAAATGGTTTCAAGAACGAAAGAAATAAATAATTAACTCTAAACCCTCAAACGAGGGTTTAGGGTTTGAAGGGAAAACCCTAAACCCTCAAAGGAGGGTCTAGGGTTTCATAAACCCTATAAACCCTAAACCCTCACAACAGGGTTTAGGGTTTACTTCATGTGTCTCTTTTTATTTTACTGTCCGTCTGCTAGCAGCAGCAGCAGCACGAACGGGTAATGCTGAAGTGTATAATCAATCTAACTACATGTTTGCAGCTAGCTGCACGGTGGTCGCAGCATCTAGCTAGCTAGCTAGCTAGCTAGCTAGCTAGCTAGCTCGACAGCAACAGGGGCGCTTGCTGCAGCCCTGCAGCAAACGTGCAGACATCGCAGAAGCCGGCTAGCTAGCGAAGTAGCTAGTTAGCTAGCCAGATAGCTAGCCAGGCAGCTATGTTCTAAGCTAGGTAGATAGCTCGGTAGATAGCTAGCCAGCTAGCTAGCTAGCTAGCTAGCTGATATTTCAGAGGAAGGAGGGCGCGCAGCCGTTTGTGTGCAGAGGAGACGGCAGTGGGTGTGTCGATGTATAACTCGTTTGTTGTTGTTTGCTGGTGCGGAAGAAGAAGGAGACAGTTGCTTCTGCTGCTGCTGCTGCTGTTGCTGCTGCTGCTGCTGTTGCTGCTGCAGCAGCATCATTTACTTAGGACATTACGAAGGTCTGAGAGCCGAACCCGCATAGATGTGGCGTTGGGTGCTCCTGGTGCTGGTTGAGCGTTAGATGTCTCCTCTCCTTGCTGCTGATTAAATGCATCAGATGTCTCCTTTGCTGCTTCGGGTTTTGTTTCAGCAGCATCTCCTTGGGGATCGACAAAAGAAGGCGATCCAGGGAGAGAGGGGTTTTGTGGGGTGTTAGGCGCAAGCTGCTCTGCTGCTGCCGCTGCTGCTGCTGCTGAGGGCCCCGATTCGTGTGAAGGCAGCACTTCCTTGAGCCTGTCCAAGACAGATGCTGCTGTTCTGCTTACATCTCCCCAGTGCTGCAGCGATACACTAAGAGGGGCTTTCTGCTGCCTAGTAGCAGCAACCTTATCCATTAGCGTCTGAAGCGCACTCATATAATAAGAAGCAGTAATTAGATTTGTCTCTGCTTTTCTTTTGAGTCCTTTTAGGGCTTTGCATAGGTGATGCCTGGCTTGCACTGTCGAAGTGTCTCCAGCTGCTGCTGCTGCTGATTCTGCTTCTGTTCCTGCTGCTGTTGCTGATTCTGTTGCTGCTGCTGCTTGTACTGCTTGCTGATGCTGTCTGCAGCGCTCAACCTCTTCTTCTGCTGCAAGTAGATCCTCTGTCTTAGGCGGAGGGAACAAAGGGCTAAAAGGAGACAGTAGAAGACTAGGGGGTACGTGGTGCTGCTTGGAGGCCTCTCGCAGCAGCACCCCCGTTACATCAACTGTCTCCTTCATTGCTGCTTCTATCTCTTCGGGGGAGACACCAAGAGGTGATACAAAAGAGTCCCCACCTCCCTCTTGCTGCTGCTGCTGCTGCTGCTGCTGCTGCTGCTGCTGCATGCCATCCACCATCATGAGGCGTATCCATTTTCTTAAGGCTTCACCTGTCTCTGCTGCCTTCTGCTGCAAGTAAGCTTCGCGACGCCTCTGACTTTTAGACTTCTTCCTGTGTCTCTTTGCTTTATTTGCTGCTGTACGAGTGTCTCCTTCAAAGAAAGGAGACGAAACCTCTAAGCGCTTATACATCGTGTCAAATGTCTCTGAGACGAAGCGAGTCCACAGCCAGAAGGCTTCTCCCTCTTGTGGTATAAAGCTGCTGCTGGTGCTGGTGCTGCTGCTGGTGCTGCTGCTGCTGCTGCTGGTGCTGGTGCTGCTGCTGCTGGTGCTGCTGATGCTGCTGCTGGTGCTCGTGCTCGTACTGTCAGGGGATGACAGGTCTGGTTCTTGCTGCGCAAAGTTTGCGTCATCTGTTGCATTGGGGTCAGCAGGAGCAACAAAAGGGGGTAGCTGCTGTTCATTTTGCTGCTGCTGCTGCCCTGCTGCGCCTGCAAAAGAGAGACAGATGAAAGCAAGAGAAGCAGAGACAATAATAGCTCGCTTCATTGTTTCTCAGGTGTACGTACACCTCAAATAGACGCAGAAACTAAAAGGGAGACAATCTGGAGACGATCCCCAGACGATCCCCAAACGATCCCGAGACGGTCCCAAAAGGCCTTCTTGGAGGTGTCTCCTCCTTCAGCAGCAGAGAGAAAGGAGACACTTCATGTAGCCTCTGCGGAGACACTTACTGCGAAGAAGAGGGGCTTAAAAGAGCAAAAATAAACAGACACATTTAAATGTGTTCAGCTCTGGGAGTATCTTGAAGAACGAAAAGGAGACAGGCCTCGAGACGGGGGGCCTCGAGGCCGAGCAGCAGCAGCAGCTAGCGGCCCCCATCTGCTGCTGCTGCTGCTGCTGTTGCTGCTGTTGCTGCTGCTTTTGTTGTTATTCTTATTATTCTTCTTCTTCTTGTTTGTCTTCTTTATTTTTATGTAGTTAGAATGGTGTAAAGAAGTTCTGGGGTATAAAAGGAGGAAAGACAACTACTGCAGCAGCAGCAGCAGCAGCAGCAGCAGCAGCAGCAGCAGCAGCAGGCCGCAGGCGAAGAAGGATAGAGACCCCCGTCTTCTTTCTAGCGGCCCCTGCTATCTATTATTTTCCTAATGTGCATTTAAAAAAACAAAAGCTGTGTTAAGATCCTGCTGAGTGCGGTGCTGTTCTCCTTTAGGGTAAGGAGACACCTGGAGGCAGCAGAGGAGACACTTGAAGGCAGCAAAGGAGACACCTGTTGTCTCCTTTATCTTTAATAAGAGAGCAGCAACAAGGGCCTCTTTCTCATTACGAAAAAATAATAATAAAAATAAACATAAACAAGCATTAATGCCTTAGAGGCCATCGGGATAAACAGACTAACTCTTCAATGTCTCTCAGCCGTTACTGTCTCCTTTACTGTCTCCTTTGCTGTCTCCTTTGCTGTCTCCTTTTAAAAGACAGAACAAAAGAACGACAAACTGAACAGATAAACCCAAATCAGGAAGGAAAGAGCAGGGAGAATGCAATCAATCGCTTGAGGGTTTAGGGTTTAGCTCACCACTAGGGTTTAGGGTTTAGGGTTTAGGGTTTAGTCGAAGAGGTTGTGCGCAGTGTTTAGGGTTTAGCGATCAAGCAGTAAGGCCTCAGGAGGCATCAAGACAGTGAGGAGAGACAAAACCGAGAGTTAGAGAAAGCAAAGAGAGACAAAAAGAGACAGACAGAAGAAAGGAGACACCTAAGGCCCCCCACAAGGGCTCTCTCCCTTGGACAAACAAACAGAAAGAGAGATAAACAAAGAGAGAAAGAGAGAGAGGCAAACAAAAGGAGACAAAGATAAACAACTGTAGCCCAGCTGTGCCTCTCAGGTGTCTCTTGAGGTGCTGTGGTGTCTGTCTCCTTTGTAGACAAACGCAGCTCTTACTGCATATATCTAACTCAGTGTCTCCTTTCGCATGTCCCCTTCTCTTCTTGTCTTCTAATGTCTCCTGTTTGTCTTCTTCTCTCTCTATCTATTGGTGTCTCGCTTTATCTGTCTCCTTCTGTTTGCACGCCTCTACTGCTTTTTATCTACTGTCTCCTCCCGTCTCCTTTTGTTCGTCTCTCCCTCCCTATGTCTCTACTCTTGCTATTGTGTGTATGCGTCTCTCTCGTGCATATACATATAAATATATATATTATCTTAACTATATATTCTATAATATATATAATATATATATAACATATATACATTCATACAAAACTCTATGCTCCTCTCTCTCTTTCTGTCTCCTCTGCGTCTGCCCTGCTGTCTCCTTTTTTCTGCTGTCTCCAACTGCGTGGCCCTCCTCTGTCGCTAAGGGCCCTCTACTGTCTACAGTTTGCTTATTCTGCCTGTCTCCCTTAGCCCTTAATGTATAAAATAAATATATATATATATGTATAGCGAGAGCGAGAGACACGTGCATATGAACTGTCTCCTTATAATGGCAACCCTTGAGACAAACTGTCTCCTTGTCTATTCGCCCTTTTGTCTCTTTACAGAGACACCCTTTAATAATATCAAGCAGGTAAAAGCCTCAACCCCTTAGCTCTTATCTGTCTCCTAAAAGGAGACACTTCTGCATCTGCAGCACAAAGGGAGGAGAAAAACACCCCCTAGGGGTATTTCAAACTCGCAGCAAAAACAAACAATCAACAAAACTCCTCATGCCTCCTCATCTCAACTGCTGAGGGGCCCCCTAGGGGGGCCCCCCGCGGGCCCCTCGCCCTAGGGGCCCCAACTGTGCCCCTCAAGCTCAAGGCCCTTCGGAGGGCCCCTCATTGGGGGGGGCCCCTAAAGAGGCCCCCTCATGCTTGAGACCCCTAAAGGGGCCCCCTCATGCTTGGGGCCCCTAAAGGGGCCCCCCTCATGCTTGGAGCCCCTATAGGGGCCCCCTCATATTAGGGGCCCCTTTAGGGGCCCCCTCATATTAGGGGCCCCTATAGGGGTCCCCACATATTAAGGGCCCCTTTAGGGGCCCCCTTATTTTAGGGCCCCCTTTAGGGCCCCCTTTATTTTAGGGCCCCCTTTAGGGGCCCTTTCATTTTCGGGGCCCCTTTAGGGGCCCTCTCTTTTTAGGGGCCCCTTTAGGGGCCCCCTCGTTTTAGGGGCCCCTTGAAGGGCCCCTCATTTTAGGGGCCCCTTCAGGGGCCCCCTCTTTCTAGGGGCCACTTATAAGGCCCCTAATGTGAGAGACCCTGTAGGGGGCTCTCATTCTGGGGCCCCCTAATAAGGCCCCTCGTTCAGGAGGCCCCCGAAGGGCCCCTCGTTCTGGGGGCCCCTGGGGGCCCCCTTCAAGGAGACCCTCTTTGTAGAGGCCCTCATAACTCCCACGGCGACGAGCATATTTGATGCCCTTGACTGCATGCATGCAGTATCTTTTTTATTTTTAATTCACTTGTTGTTTTTCTCTGTTTGTCTTTGGCATTAATAGAAGACCCCCTAATAATTATTAAGGGGCCCCCTATAATACAAACCTTGAGGGGCCCCTCAATCAGACAAACCTTACAGGGGCCCCCAGATAGAACAAACCTGGAGGGCCCCCAGATTGAACAAACTTTGAGGGGCCCCCAGAGGAGACAAACTTTGTGAGGGCCCTTGAAAGGATGCAGCTCGCACTGTCTCCTTTCTTCGCTCTTGTTTGTTTGTTAGGGCCCCTACACAAGACAATATTATTCAGGGGGGGGCCCCCCCAGATGGCTGCTGCTGCCCTTCTAGGCAAAGGGGGCCCCCAACAACAAACGCTGTCTGTCTCTTCTTGTCGCGTTCGTGACTTGCTGCAGCAGCAGCAGAACATCGGCTGCTGCTGCTGCTGCTGCTGCTGCCACTGTTGCTGTCGTTGTTGTTGCTGCCGCTGCTGGTATTGCTGTTGCTGTTATTGCCTTTGTCCCTGTGCTATACTATGCGTATTGCTGCTGTTATTGTTGTTGTTCTTGCTGTTGCAGTTGCTGCTGCTGCTGCAGCTGTTGCTGCTGCTGCTGCTGCTGCTGCACTATTCAATCTCCAAACCTAAGCGTAGGGCTACCATTGTAGCCCTCCACATAATAGCGGTGCAGCAGTTGCTACTGGATTTGCTGCTGCTGCAAGAGCAGCTGTTGTTGCTGCTGTTGCTGTTGCTGCTGCTGCTGCTGCTGCTGTTGCTGCTGCTGCTGCTGATGCTGCTGCTGCACTTGACGCATGATCCCTAAGAGCCCCTCAAGCCAAGCTCTGTTGCTGCAAGGAGTCCTCTTCTGCCTGCTGTCAGCAGCCCCGACGGAGACACGCATGCATAAATCTTCTCTTAAAGGTGAAGCCTTCAGCACTAAGGCCCACACAGCCCCTCCCTCGCAGGTGTCTCTGCTGCTGCCCAAAGGAGATTTTGTCTCCTTTATTGGGGGCACCCGTACCCTTCCTCCTGCTGCTGTTCCTGCTGCTGTTCCTGTCCCTGCTGCTGCTGCTGCTGCTGCTGCTGAGCGGGGCCCACCTGCTGCTCCTCGCATTGGTGTTGCAGGAGACCCCAAGCACAGCTTCCCTCCTACTGAATCAACGCAAGAACCAACTGCTGCTGCTGCTGCTGCAGGTGCTGCAGCACCGCGTGCAGCAGCAGCACCCGCAGCTGCAGAAGCAGGAGCAACAGCGGGTGCGAGTGTGGCTCCTGTAGCTGCTGAAGCAGGTTTAAGTTGCGCTGGTCTATTCGCTGGAGTTGCTGTTGCTGCTGCTGCTGCTGCAGCTGCTGCTGCAGTGTGTGTATCGGGGTGTGGTGGTTGATGCTGTCTTTCTTTATCGCATGCACAGGGGCCCCCTCTTGCTGCAATAACGTTCACGTTCGGGGAGAGAAGCTGCTGCTGGGGGCCCCCTGTTCTGCTGCTGAAGGGCCTTAAGAGGCTGCGTTGAGTTATGCTTCCAGCCATAGGGCTTGCAGCACGAGAAGCAGCAGGCTCTGCAGGTTTGCTGCTGCAGCTCTGGTGGGGCCCCCCTCCAGCTGGAGGTGGTAGGCCCCCCCAGTCAACATCAATATCAAGATATGCATATGAACGGATCTGTTCTGCTGCTGCTGCTTCGCAGCAAGAGCAGCAGCGCTGATCGTCTCCATCAGGAGACGTATCTGCTGCAGTTGTTGGGGTCTCTGGTGGCTGCAGCAGCTGCACTTCTACTGCAGCAAAACCCTCAGGGCCCCCCAGATCAAACACTTGTCGCGGTTTTATATCTGACGGCTGTGAATAAACATAAAGACGACACCGTGAGAGAGCTAAAGTGACCCATCGCCGCTTCCAGAAGCCTTTGCGTGAACGTATCTCAACAGACGCAGGGAGAAACAAGCAGCTGCAGCAGCCCCCGCTCGGATCTTCAACCCAGCTGCTGCTGCTGCTGCTGCTGCTGTTGCTGCTGCTGCTGCTGCAACCGTTATAACTGCTGCAACGGCTGCAGCTGCTGCAACCCACTCCACCCATCAGAGGAGAGCGTACACTCCCACATGGAGACACCAGAGGCTGAAAGGAGACACCTCCTCCAGCCTCATGCAGCCCCAAAGGAGACACTTTAGGAGTGCACAGAGCAAACGGAGACGGAGGCACCAGATATATGTCCCCCCCAGATTTGCAGCTCACGCGGCTCGCATGCAGCAACTGCTGCTGTTGCTGCAACTGCTGCTGCTGCTGCTGCTGCTGTTGCTGTTGCTGCTGCTGCAGTGGGCGTGGCAACGGAAGACCGACATCAGTGAGGAGCCCATCCTCTGCAGCAGCAACAGTAACAACAGCTCCTGCTGCTGTTGCTGCTGCAGTTGCAGCTGGCGGTTGTGCGTGGGGTGGTGGCGGTGCTTGCTGGTGCTGTGTTGTGCTACTGCTGCTGCTGCTGCTGCGGTGTGTTGCTGCTGCTGCTGCTGCTGCACGCAGCAGGGAGCTGAAGAGGCCTCCCTGATCTAGCAACGTTTTAAGCTGACTTGCTGCAGGTCTTCTCTGAGGGTCTCTTTGGAGACAGAGACTGCAGAAGGCAGCAACACCGGGAAACTTAACTCGAAGGCCTTCGGGGAGACACCCCTCTCTTGCTCTTCTTAGTATCTCGCATCGCTCCATAACTGTCTCCGCTCTACTAAACAAGTCTACTCCTAACATACCTAGAGCCCAGACATCAACAGCACTACCGTACTGTCCCCCTTGCAGCTGCTCTGGGGGTGCATAAACTGTTGTCCCTACGCCCCGTGTTCGATTGCCGCCTGCAGCAACGCATGCAGCAGCAGCAGCAGCAGCAGCAGCAGCAGCACCGCTTCCTCCTGCTCCTCCTGCTGCTACAGCTGCTACTGGAGCCGCTGAGGGTGAAGCTGCTGAGGAACCGCACGCCGATGCAGCAGACTCCACTGCTGCTATTTGCGCTCCTGTTGCATGAGACGCCGCTGCTGCTGCTGCTGCTGCTGCTGCTGCTGCTGCTGGTGTTGGTGGTGTTGATGGTGTTGTCCCCGGCGAGACTGCAGCATGCTCCAAAGGCACAAGTGTTGTTGTTGCTGCTGCTGCAGTTGCTGCAGTTGCTGCAGTTGCTGTTGCTGCTGCTGCTGCTGCTGGATTCTCCTCTGTATCTGGTGTCCCCAGGGTTCGGATAGCGCCAAGGGGCCCCCCTTGGGGGCCCCCCTGGGGGCCCCCTGGTGTATGGGGGCCCCCCAAGTTCGGGTTGTGATGTTCACTGCTAAGCTCCTCTCTAAAAGCCAAGCCAAAGTCTCCTATTCTCTGGGTCCCCTCTGCAGTAAGAAATACGTTAGAGGGTTTAATATCGCGGTGTATAATCCCTTGACTGTGACAAAAGGAGACACCTTCAACTAAATGATATAAGAAGAGAGCTTCTTGAGGGCCCTGTACAGTCGGTGTCCTTGCAATATATTGCTCTAAAGATAAAGGATAGTACTCCATTTGAATGTGCAGAGACACCTGAACACGACCCCCTACTATCCCGCACGCCCCCTGTCTCTCTTGGGCCCCTCCTGCTGCTCCTGCTGCTCCTGCTGCTCCTGCTGCAGCCTCCCCCTCATCCTCTCGCAAACCCTGCGCTGCTGTCGGGCCCCGCGGGGCCCCACGGGGGGGCCCCCCAGGGGCCCCCCCTCCCTCTCCACGACGCCGAGATGAAGAGCGAGGAGAAGGACCCTGACCTGCAATGCACGCACTGTCTCCTTTTACAGACTGGGGGGGGGCCCCCCCTGCACCTTGAGGAGACACCCCGCGTACCGCCTGTGGGGGCCCCTCTCTGAGGGTCTCTGTATCATCTTTGTTGCTGCTTGTCTTGCGTGCTGCTGCACCCCTAAGCTCTGCTGCAGCACGTGCAGCAGCAGCAGGAGCAGGAGCAGCAGTACTGCAGAGACAAGAAGCGTAGCAGCCGCAGCGACTCCCAGCGGCCCCGTGGTTATGTGCGTCAGCAGCAGCAGCAGGATCTCGGGGGGGCCCCCGGGGGCCCCCCGCTAAGGTTGCAGCAGCCTCTGAACCCTTTCCAGAAGCTGCTGAGCAGACAGGGCCCCCCTCTGTCTCCTGCTGCTGCTGGGGCCCCCTCCCTCCTGTCTCCTGCTGCTGGGGGGCCCCCCCACCATTGGGGGCCCCCAATGCTGCACTATCCTGAAGCTGAGACCCACTCGGCAGCCTAAAAGATATCTTGAGGCCCCCTGTTGTGTCTCCGCTGCAGCTGTCTGTACACCAGAAACCGTCGCTCGAAGGCACACGTTGGCAGCTGTGGCTCTCGGAGGCCACAGCAGCAGCAGCAGCAGCTGCTGCTGCTGCAGCAGCAGCTGCAGCAGCAGCTTCCGTTGCTGCTGCGTGGCTGCGGGGAGCCTGTCGCAGAGCACAGAAGAGGGGGCCCCCTCCTGCTGTCAGCATGTCGCTTGAGTGTCCATCGAGATATCTGTCTCTGTCTCTGTCTCTGTCTCCGTTTCTGTTTCTGCTGCTGCTGCTGCGGGGCCCTGCTCGTTGCTGCTGCATCTTTGTTGATCTCTTTGTTGCAGCATTATTCCCTTTAGCTGGGCTCCCTGGTGCATCAGCAGGCGCGGCTGCCGCCGCTGCTGCAGCAGCTGCTGCTGCAGCAGCAGCAGCTGCAGCAGCAGCAGCACGAGTCCTTGCAGGGCCCCCCCCCTGTGTCTGAGAAGCAGCAGGAAGAGCCTTCGTCTCTAACCAAGACGAGAAGTATCTGACAATATAAGGATTGTTGCTCAGCTGCCTCAGGCACTGCACTTCACGCAAAAAGCGGTGGGTCCTGCTCTCCAGGTGGCGAGCGTCAACAGTAAACTGAGCAGCAGCAGCAGCAGCAGCAGCAGCAGCAGCAGCAGAAACATGTAGAGCATATTGGAGCAGCAGCAGCAACAGCATGTAGCAGCAGAAGCAGCAGCAGCAGAAACATGTTGAGCATATTGGAGCAGCAGCAGCTATAACATATAGCAGCAGCAGCAACATATAACCGCAGCAGCAGCAAAAAGACACAAGAGCAAGTAGCAGCAGCAGCAGCAGCAGCAGCAGCAGCAGCACTCAGCGGCAGCACCATCAGCAGCAGAAAACCCAAAGGAAACATCAACCATGAAAAACATCAGCAGCAGCAGCATCAGCATCAGCAAAAGCAACAGCAGCAACAGCAGCAGCAGCAGCAGCAGCAGCAGCAGGAGTAAGAGTAAATGGATTACCTGTATGATTTTAATTGCATATACCTCTCCATCAAGCTTATGCTTTGCTCTTAAAACTCTGCCGAAGCCTCCTTTGCCGACAGCAACAAAGTCATAGAAATCTCTTTGAAGTCTCGGGGCCTCTGTTTGTGAGGGGCCCCCGTGAGGAGACAGCGAAGCAACAGAGATGCAGCTGCTCGGAGACAGGGGGCCCCTCAGAGGGGGGGGCCCCCGAGTGCTGCTTTGCGCTGGGGGGCCGCCCCCTGTCCTGCTGCTGCAGGGAGCCATAGAGGAGACAGATGATAATAAGAGACAGGAAGGAGACAGGAAGGAGACAGAAAGGAGACAGAAAGGAGACAGATATAAGGATAAGGTCTGGGGGTTTTAAAAAGCAAGACAGACAAGAAAACAAATTAAAAAGCAAATAAACGAAGCTGCAGAGGAGACAGCCGCTGCAGTTAAAGCAGAGACGAGGAGACAAGCGTAAAGAAAACGAATGGAGACACAATAAGCGCATATATATATATATATATATACACCCTATACTAATGCCCCGCAAGGCAGCTGCAGCCAGCACCGCTTCTTGCTGCTGCTGTCCAGCTGCATGAGCAGCAGCAACAGCAGCAGCAGCAGCAAGGCTGCAGGCCCCAAGAAGAGATACACGCAGACGGAAACGGAGACCGCCCCTTAGAAGCGGCAGCAGCAACGGCGGCAGCAGCAGCAGCAACTGCAGCAGTAGCAGTAGCAGCAGCAGCTATAAGGCTCGTCGCATACAATGAGGAGCCCTGGTGTACGTACAGCGCGTATAACGCTCTATGCATGCTGACGCATGCACAGAAGCAGGTGCCTATACACCTCAAAAACCATCTCTCCCCACGCCCTGTAGAACTTCTACTCTATTTGCTGCTGTTTTTTTAAACAGGTGTTAGAAGTAGTATGTATAATGGTGCTGCTGGTGGTGGTGGTGGTGGTGCTGCTGCTGCTGCTGCTCCTGCTGCAGCAGCTGCTGCTGCATCTGCTCTTCTCCCCAGGAGCCAAGAAGCTGCACACAGGCAGGGCCTCCGGGGCCCCCCGGGGCCCCTCCTTGAGCTCCCCTTGCGCTCTCTGTCTCTCTTTTTGTGTATACCCCTCAGTGCAGGGGAGGCTGAAGGTATGTATGGCTGCAAGTTTGCTGCTGAGGGTGTCTGGTAGTTCGAGGCCCCCCTCAAGAAGCCTGAACAATATTAATAGCTTTAGACGAACAAATAAGTGCAAAAAAGAAGAAAGGGGGGTTTAACCCGCTGTATGGGGCCTCAAACGGAGGGAGAGAGAGAGTAAGAGAAAGAGAGAGAGAGAGAGAGAGCCTGAGAGAGAGAGAGAGCAACAAACCACGAACACAGAGAGAGCCAGGGTATTAACGTAAGAAGGAGACGGGGATAATTGAAGAGAAGAAGAAATAATTAAAAAACAATGTCTACAACACACCAGACCCCCACCGAAATAAATTAATATTTGCTGCTGCTGCGCTGTATATACACCTCCGCCTCTTGCTGCTGCTGCTGCTGCTGCTCTGCCCCCACTCATCGCTCCCTAGCTTAGCTTTTCTTGTTTTTTGTCTGCATTACACATATTAATAATGTTTAATACCATTATATATTTAATTTTATTTATTTCTTGCCCCTTAGAAACGTATTATTGTCCTCTTCTATCACCGCACCGCCGCAACCCTCACTCCGCACACAAACGCAGCGTGGGGCCCCGAGCTTTAGTCGCAAGTTGTTTATGAGTCTTCTATTGTTTTTTACTTTTTTATTATTCTTTTATATACAATAAGTACTATAACCTTAATGAACAAGCAGCCCCCTCCAGAGAAGGCCCCCCTACACCCTCCCTCAGCCGACTCTATGAAGCACTGTCTCGTTCCCTCTATGCTATAAACCTTCAATTGAAATAAATTAACAAAACAAACTAAACTTATTCATTAATGCTCCCTATACACCCCAAATCATCAAAACTTCCTAAGGAACAACAAGGGGCCGAAGACGCACCTCCACCCAGCAGCTATTATTAGGGTTTGGGGGTGGGGGGGGAGGGAG